TGCCAGTATACGCGCGCACGAGAGAGAGAGAGAGAGAGAGAGAGAGAGAGAGAGAGAGAGAGCTGCCAGATTACTATCTATTATGAGCTAAAAGCGAAACAAAAATGAGAATCGACCCAGAAGATGGGTGTCTGATGGAGCACTGAAAAAAGAAAAGAAAGAAGAGAATGCAAAGATGACAGTTGTTTCGTGAGGGTTGGAGAATGGAAATGGGAAACGGGGAGGGGGAAGGTTAAGGTTGTACTAGTACATTACACCTTTTTTACTATATTCGTATTATTCAACCCAAAAAAAAAAAAAAAGGATTGAAAGTGGTTGATCTGGGCCTACAGTTGGTCCCACTTACCTGGCTTCCCCTTATATGAAGGTTAGTGACGAAGAATCTGCGAAAGTTGGGGGGGACCTCGCCTCTGCTCTCCTTTCCCCCCCCCCCCGGAGTACCTGGGCATCACGCCCGGGTCCCCGGCCGCGCATGAAAATCTTCCTAGCTTTCAACAGAAAAAAAAAATACACGCCCAGGTACTTCGGGTGAATCTGTGAACGTATCTGGTCTGTATTTGGGGAAGAAACAACTCGACGAATTTTAACGAATTTCAATGAAATGTGTTCTTCGGACTTCTTCCTAATACATGCTTCCTGTGTATTTTATTTTTCTGTTGAAAATGCAAAGTACTATTCCCCCCCCCGCCCCCCCTAGATAGTAGTAAAATACTAATTTGAGATTGAATCCCGTCCAGGTACATCGAAGAAAATACAGCTATGAACGCGTGTTTCTAGAGCGCAGAGTCTGACACTGGTCGACCTGTGATTTCGCTTTCGTCCGTTTGGGACGTCTGTACTGTGAATGCAACTTTGGTTACCATTCCTTTTTTTTTGTTTTGTTTTCTTTTCTTATATATTTTTATTTATTTATTTTTTAACTTTTTTAAACTTTTCCTTTTTGGTAACTTTTTAAAACTTTTCCTTTTTGGTGCACTGTGCAGGCGCAATTCAACGCCGACCAACTTCTCACGGAGAGACCATATGTAAGCTGCCCAGTCCATGAGGCCCTTCCTTTTTTTATAGTAAAAGGTCATTAGAAAAAAGAAGGAAAAAAAAAGAAAAACAAAAAGAAAAACAAAAAGAAAAACAAAAAGAAGAACAAAAAGAAAAGAAAAACAAAAACAAAAAGAAAACACAAAGAGGGTCTACCACCGGTCTGTTTCTTCAGACTGACTGGGGAGTAGCAGTCCTGATCATCAGGCTGATTTATTTCTGGATGGACCTCCAATCAAAAAAAGAAAAACAGAGAGGGGATTTCAGCTGTTCAGTTTTGTATGTATTGATTTGTGTCTGGATTCGATGAATGTGTTTTTTGAAGTTTTCATCTGTTTGATTGATTGGTTTTCACCTAGGCTACCAGAATGGCCCGGGACCACGTGCCAAGAATTTTGATGTGCCCTGGAGGCAAAAGTTGTTCAGGTTATTTTTCTCCATAACATATTTTTTTTCGTTTTTTATTTTATTTTATATATATATATATTTTTAACAGGGACCTTTCCTGGTTCTTGCACGGCCTTGCCGCCTCCGGAAAAACAGGGTGACCCGGGCGGCCAGGCTGGTAACCTAGGTTCTCACCTGGTCATTGGTTGGTTTTCACTTGTTGATTGCTTGTCGGTTGGCCTGCATATCCGTTGATTGATTGATTGATTTGGCTTGCGTATGCGTTGATCGCATTGATTGATTGATTGATTTGGCTTGCGTATGCGTTGATTGCATTGATTGATTGATTGATTTGGCTTGCGTATGCGTTGATTGATTTGCTTGCTTATGTGTTCATCGGTTTGATTGGTTGATGGCTTTTCACCCGTTGATTGATTGGTTGGTCAAGCGTGGTTTTCATGTTTTGATTGGTCTCTTCTGCTCGTTATAAGCTGATGAAGTGGTGGATTAATCGTCTTGACTTTTTTTTTTTTTTTTTGTAATTTTCCAAAGAGGCAGTGAATGGTGGGGAGGGGTGTTCTGAAGGGTGCAAATTAATAATTATTAGTCATTTTTTTTTTGTAATTTTCCAAAGAGGCAGTAATTTTTATTATAATTTGCTCTGTTTTATGCAGGTCTCGAAGCTCGTTCGTGATGCCCTGACAAAGAGGGCCAAGGATTTCAATATCTTGCTTGATGATGTTGCTATTGTACGTAATCACCTGCCGGCATACTTTACTCTGTGCTTGTTCTGGCATCTCTCTCTCTCTCTCTCTCTCCCGGGGGACTCTCTCTCTCTCTCTCTCTCTCTTTCTCTCTCTCTCCCCCGGGGTGATACTCTACTCTGTGCTTGTTCTGGCATTTCTCTCTCTCTGTCTCTCGGTCTTTCTGTTTGTCTTCGTGCCTGTCTTTCTCTGTCTGCCTGCCTCTCTCTCT